CAGGGGTCAGCTCGATACTGTACATGGGTGAGGTAAGGTCTGGGGATCAAACCCCGGGATCTGCATCTGCCTCTGCAAAGGTGAAAACCGTTTCACTCCCGCCGGCCTAAATTCAAGGTCCTCCGAGAATATCTTAGTCCAAGGCAGGACCTTTGCCTTTCCTATCTCGCTATAGGCCCTAACTATGTCAGGAGCTGTTTCTAGAAGTTCAGTCCTAGTAAACCAGCGGTCGTCTTCTGGTTCTCGATATGTGAATCTAACTTTATATTGCTTTTGAGGACGACCTCTATCTCCTGTTCTGAATACATCTTCATCTACAATGTCGTCAATGTCGTATCTTCCATCCATATCCAGCGGTATCATGGATCTTCTGGAGGGAAACTGTTGACTTGTGACACACGGCAGTAACTTGGATGCATGGAATACTGGGTAAGTGTGGAGGTGCGCTGGAATCTCTACCGTATAGGACGGCCCATCCTCTTCGCCTTTAACTTCTAGAACTGGCCACGGTCCTCTATACGCAGGCAGTAACTTTTGTGAAATGTTCTCCTCAGGAGCAAACTCCTTTGACTTGACCCAGACTAAGTCGCCTACTTGAACTGTGACGGGCGACGATGCTTGTTGGCTTGCTCTATCATCCTATGTTGGGCCTTCCTGAGGTTCTCTACAACGGTAGCTAACTCTTTCTCATGCTGTAATGCAAATTCCCTAGTACCAAGCAGTAGCCTATGAATCTGATCCCGGTTAAGTCCCTCAAACGGTCTGCGGGGTCTAAAGGACTTGTGTAACTCGTTGGGAGTGCGACACGGGGACAAGTGCACGCTGTTATTGTAGGCACTGGCTACCTTTGGGAGCATCTCATCCCAGTTAGTCTGATCAGGCCTAATGTACATTCTCAGAACTTGTTGCAGGATCTTGTTCATTTGCTCAGTCTGACCGTTGGTCTCTGGATGACGGCCGACGACATCAACAACGTAGAGCCATAGACTCTCATCAACTCCTACCAGTTCTGACTGGTGAACCGGGTATCTCTATCACTAACTATAGATAATGGAACCCTGTGTTCACTGACCCAGTGATCGAAGAACTTTTGGATCTCTAACTCGGTCCGTGCCTCTGAAGGCAAAGGAATAAAAACTGCATATTTGCTAAATCTATCAACTATGACCATAACTTGGCTCTTGTCGTGCCTACTCTTGACGCCAGCGTCCATAAAGTCAATGGATACTGAATCTCCAGGCTGATCAGGAATAGGCAGGGGTCTGAGAAGACCTAGAGGGGCACGCGTAGTGGTCTTATTCCTTTGACAGACTTTGCAACTGCGGACATACTCTATGCAGTCATTTTTCATTCCTGGCCAAGTGTACGCGTGCATCAGGTTAGCTAAAGTCTTCTGCGACCCGAAGTGTCCCTCTGTATCGTGACATTCCCCCAAGATCAAACTATGGACCTCCTCACTATTGGGAATGCATAGCCGGTCAACCACATTAGTCTTCTCGAATAACAACCCCTCGGTAGTGCGGTAATCTGGCTCAGTCTCTGGGGCCTCCCTTACTTTCTTAAGAAGGTCACTGTAAATAGGGTCTTGCGCATACGCCTCTCTAATTTTCGGTTGCAGGTCTTTCCCTATATCCAGATAGTGTACTATCGCTCCAAAGTAGTCTGCTCTCCTACTTAGAGCGTCTGCAACTACATTGTACTTCCCTTTTACTGGCTTGAGCTCAAAGTCGTACTGGTCTATCTCTGCGGCCCACCTAGTCAACTTAGGTGTCATCTTGGCCTGAGTCTCCAGCCACCTCAATGTCTCGTGGTCTGAATAGACTTTAAAGTGCCTCCCAAGCAAGTAATGCTTCCAGTGGTCTAACGCTTGCCTGAGAGCATAGAGTTCCCTCTCATAGGTAGATGTCGCTACCTTCTCAGAAAGCATTCTGGCGGACATGAACTCTACGGGCCTATACCCATTGCCATCGTCTTGCTGTAGTACAGCGCCTATGCCGTACTGGCTCGCGTCATCAGCTACCTTAAGGACTGGGTGCTCTATCAGTGCCTGCTTCAATTTCTTCATGGCAGACGTGCAGTCCTTGTCCCACTTCCAGATCGCTTCTTTCTTTAGCAATCTGCGAAGGGGCGCAGCGATGGTGGAGAAGTTTCTCACAAACTTCCTATAGTAGTTGGCTAGGCCTAAGAACGACTGCAACTCCGTCAACGTACGCGGTGTAGGCCAATCTCTAATCGTTGCGATCTTGCAGTCTTCTGGTTTGACGTCGTCTCCGTCTAAGATGTGGCCTAAGTACAAAACTTGGGTCTTCGCCCATTCACACTTCTTCGCATTGATCTTGAAGTTAGCTTCTTTCAGCTTCTCCAAGACCTGCCTCAGATGACCCTGATGCTTTTGGAGGGTCTTGCTAAACACTAGAATGTCATCTAAGTAGACAACTACAAATCTGTCCAACCACGGCCTAAACAAATCATTCATGCAACGCTGAAAAGTTGCTGGCGCGTTGGTCAGTCCAAAGGGCATCACTCTGAACTCATAATGCCCATATCTAGTCCGGAAAGCTGTCTTATACTGGTCATCAGGATGAACCTCTATCTGATGATATCCGGACTTCAAATCTATCTTGGAAAAATATTTGGTGCCCTGCACTCTATCTAGGAGATCATCTATCCTGGGCAGTGGCTCAGCATTCTTCACTGTGATAGCATTCAGATCCCTATAGTCTATACACATCCTAAGCTCTCCCTCTTTCTTAGGGACGAATAGAACAGGTGCTCCAAATGGAGATGAACTGGGCCTAATCCAACCCTTTACTAGGAGTTCATCTAACTGCTTGCGCAGTTCCTCCAATTCCCGCGGGGACATCCTATACACTGCTCGCTTAGGAGTTTTACTGCCAGGCTCTATCTCGATGCGGTGCTGGATGGGCCGCGACACTGCTCCTGTTGGCGGCTTGGCTAAGTCTGTAAACTCCTCCAGCAGCTTGGCAATAGCAGGGTCTATAGGCTTCTCCTCCTTAGGCTCAGTCATTGGCCTAACATAGGCTACAAAAACCTGTTCCTCGAGCTGCTCCTTCTTTACTAATCTTGCGAACGCAAAAGCACTAAAAAAGTGCCAGAGAGTTGTCTACTCCTGACACATGATACAGGCGGGCAGTCTTGAGCTCGCCTGAGGGACTAGGGAGCATACACTCGTGCTCTCTCAAATGGAGTGTGGCCCCGACTGCCTCTCCCCAGTCCATGCCTAGGACTATATCAAATGGGAGGCTATCTTCTACGAGGAGAGTTAGGGAATGGAGAACTTTCTCCACTTTCCCATCCTTCTCTAGGCGGAAGTACGCCTGGACTCCCTCTACGTAATCCTCCACGCGCATTGTGCAGTTGTCTGCGAGGATACTTACTATGGGGTCTGCTAGCTTTTGGACCTTTAGTCCCAAGTTCAACTTCTGCAGCGCTTTCCTACTGATATAGCTGCGAGTGGCCCCTGAATCTACTAGGGCCCCTACTCAACCTCTAAAAATCTCTACATCCACTAAGACTAGCTGTCCCCTATTCTCCTTCCTCATTTTGGCCCAGGCGGGCATCCTCTCCTTCAATTCCTCAGCCACGCTTGTGAGGGAAGTGTCTAGAGAGACTCTAACACAAGCAGTCTCTGGACAGCTATCTAGACACCGGCCTGCAACCTCTGCCATAGGCACATGTGGTGTGGGAGTCTCCTGCCGGCTAGCGGTATTTTCCCCACATGGCCTTATGGTAGGGGCAGTTGCTACCCCTACCGGCGACTGCCTTTTGACCCTTGGGCAGCCGATCGGGTCTCCCTGTACTCAGGACAAAATTTAATAATGTGGCCAGGGTCACCGCAGTAAATGCACTGCCCCTGGTCCACACGCTGTTGCCACACTTGCTGGTCCAGACCCAAATCTTCCCAAGGCCTGCCCTGAGGCAGCCCTGGGTGCCAACCACCTCTCCTATACGGGGGCCTGTTTCCCCTATTGGGAGACCTGTTTCCAGAATGGTTTCGCGGGGGACCTTGACCCCTTCCTCCCGCTTGGCGGTTCCCTCCTCTGCCGCCAACCCCCTGATCGTCTTGGGCACGACCTCCTGAGGCCCGACCCCCTTGGCCCTGGCCTCTTCCTCCTTGCGGCCTCCCTCCAGCCGCGACAACAGCGTAAGTCCTCCCCTGGCTTACGCTACTGTCATCGTCCTCTAACCCCCACTCAATCTGATCGTAGGGGACTTCATCAACACTACCCTCGTCCAAGGGAAGGATCAAACGATCCTTAGTCTTTACCTACCTTGAGATAGTGTGGCCCTTCCACCTTTTTCCCTTATCTAGGTCCTTATGCCAGAAAGTGGAAGCTGACATGGACCTGGCCTCAAATGCCACCACTTCCCTGCTCAACGCGTCATAGGTCATGGTGGGTTGTTGGCTCTTCTCGAAGAAGTGGCCACGCAACGCTTCGGGCGTAGCTCGGTAGAAGAGGTTGACCAACTGGGTCTTTGTGACCCCGTGGTCAGGGACCGCCACTAACTCGTCCATCATACCTTTGAGTGCCTTAGCACTCTTCCACTGTCGGGAATGGTTCATCTGTAGACGATCAGAGGCCTTGACACTGCGGGCGACATCTGCAAATCGTTCGCGCAGCAATTTAAGGAAGTCAGTGAGGGGGGTGAATGCAAAATAAGCAACAACATCATCATTGCAATTAGCAGCGCGGATTAGGGATCGTGCGAAGCTGGCGGCTTCATCCTTGAGCGCATGGATAGCGATGAGAACATGCTCATCAGGGGAGACCTTCTGCAAATGCACGCACGTCTTAACGTTGGCCTCCCAATTGTCAAAGTTTTCTTCCTTTTTCCCACTGTAGGAATCAGGGAACTTGACTTTGACGGGCTCCCTACGGGGACGTGCCTCCTCCTCCTTGGGAGCAGCCAGCTTGGCGCCCTTTATGGCGCCCGTACAATAACGCTCAGTGTTCTCGAGGCGAATCTTCACCTCTGAGCCTATCGCCGTTACTAACTCACGCGCGAAATCCCTGAACCCCAGTCGCATAGAGCGCACGGCCAAATCTTGACTCCGACTGAACTCATATTGGTCCTCCTGGGCCCTTGCTAATCGCTCGATGTTCAGTGCCATGACCTCCATCTTCTGCTGGAGGTCTACCTGTGCGGCTAACTGTTCCCTCAGCTTCCTCACTTCAGCTAGTTCCTTCGCCGCTTCGCTCGCTGCATCTACCCTCTTCTTCTTTTCCCTCATCATCCTGAACTTCCACTCCATCCTCTTCTCGTCTTCCACAGCCTGCCGCTTTAAAGGGTCCTCTTCTGCATCCCATTCCTGTGTGGCCGCCTCCTGTTCGTCCCTGGGGATATACATCGAAACTTCCTCTTCTTCTCCCAGAGACAAATTCGTAACCCATTCTGAAATCTTCTTTTCCATTTCATCTTCTTTAGGCCCACTGGACTGTCCTCTTCGCCATCTCCTTCCTCTCTCTAGTGGCTGGTCGTCCACATCATCTTCCTCTTCTACCTCCTTCAACTTCTCCTCCTTTTCTTTCTTCAATCTTTTTTTCTCTCTGGCCATCTCCTCCTCAATCTTCTTCAGCTTCGCCGCCTGTTCCTCCATCAGGGCCTTCTTCTTGGCCTCTTTTTTCTCCTTCCTTTCTTTCAAGATAGTGGCGGCTTTCTCCTCCTCTTCTTTCGTGTAGGGGTTAGTTGACACTCCACCCCGGGTCTCTACTCTACAGGAAAACGTGTTCCAAAATCCCAGAGGAAAGAGGAGACGCCAGAGGGTCCCCCAGAGGGAGAACCCCACAAGGAGACTGTACATCGGGTAATCGTCCATGGTGTCAGGTGCTAGACAGGGACTATCCCACTCCTCACCACTTTTACGGGACCCTGTCAGCTATGGTCTCTAGCCTAGACTCTAGATACTAAAGCGGTCACTACAGGATCATTTGCTGACCAAGAGGCAATTAAGGAGATCCCCCATAACTCCTCAGGAATTCTTTAACGTCGCAGACAGGACGACGCGGTCAACAGATCCTCTCAAAACGTAGACTGCCTGTTGTACAACCCATAGCTCGGATTTCGGGCCTACCGTGCCACACCGAGCAGCCCGCCGGTCGGTACCGGTCCTTGGGAGGGTTCGTGTCCTCCGGGACAGTCGAGTCGTCAGACACAGTCTTTAGCCCTACTCGGCCCGTGCGGGTTTGGTCAACAAGGCCTATCCTTCATACACGGAGTCCTATCACTTAGACAGAAGAGACTCAATGCAGAAAGAAGAAACAGACAGACTCAGACTCAGCAAGTACCATCGCGTGAGTGCACATCCATAGGGTAACGGGATAGGCTGAGGACTTGGCGAGATATTACCAACTCCAGCTTGGTCAAAGTCTTGGTCAACGGCGCCGGTTAACTCCTCGGTCAATGCTTGGTCAACTCTCCACCTCGGCTATGGCTGCCGACACCTTCCTCGTCGCCACCCTTGTCTTCTTCTTCCCCTTCCTTTCTTTCTTCTTCTTTTTTTTCACCCTCGGCTATGTCTGTCTTCCACCTCGATGTCTCCTCCTTCATCCTCTACCTCTTCTCTCTCGCCCCCTCCGTGTTGGAGCTCCGCGGCTATGGCCGCTACTTCCTCCTCCCTCGGACTGCACAACCAATCTTGTATCGCTCAGTTCTCTCTCTCTCTCTCTCTCTCTCTCTCTCTCTCTCTCTCTCTCTCTCTCTCTCTCTCTCTCTCTCTCTCTCTTCGCTGTTGTTCTCTGTGTGCAGGTACACCTCCGCAGCGCAGCTATGGCGGACCTTCTTCTTCAATGGCGCTCTTCACCTCGGTGCCCTTTGGTGCGTGGAGTAGCGGGTACCAGCTCCGATACCAGTGCAATCAGACTCGTATACTTCGTCACTTCACATGCATACAAACAGATGGTGAATCACTCTGGCGCATAGCGCCCAACTCAAAGCTCGAAGACATGGAAATCAAGACAGTTCAGATATGAGTTCACTTCAACAGGCTATGGTGCCTCAGCACCCACACCTCGCAACTCTTGTCTCTGTTCGCAACACCACTGTTCGCCTCACACTTCAACTCCGGATCACCCTGGATACCCCACGCACACACACTGTACACACACACATACACACCTAACACCA